ACACATTAAATATAAATATTGCAAATTTCTTCGCACAATTCTGACCCATTTTATGGTCACGCTCTATATTAATCTTCTTACTGTAAACGAAGTAAAAGTTAAAGTATCATTAAATCCACTTTTGGTTCTCTGCTTGTAACGTCGAGTACACTTTTACGTTGGAAAATAATTGGAGGAGAAAACTATATTACGTATATTAATAGAATAACATGTAAGCTGCAGATTTTTACGCATTTGTAGGAAATTTTTCAAGTACAAAATAGCACAGACTGGACATAACACGAGAAAATATATACGTATAATATCTAGAAGGTTCTACAAAATTCAATACAACAATTTTCCATTTTTTCCATTACATTTCGGAAAAATATAAATTTCGACAATTTCAAGTTTTTATAAGCGCAATTAAAGAAATGTAATTCCGACAGAAATTTAACTCCATGATAAAGTATTATGAGTAATCTACTTTCGATATTTTATATATTTCCTCACGTTGCATGCATTCGCTGCATTTTGCATTGAATTGCATTTACATATAACCTAAGGAGGTCAATCTCTGCTTCATTTATTTTCCAAGTTAAACTCGATGTTATACACAGAAAATCAAGAATACATTCAGTTTGTTTTTAATGATAATCTGACTTCTTTGCATCGTAATTTCATTCGTATATCCATGGCGTCCCATTTATTATTAGATCAGATTATTGACCTGATCTATCCGACATTAATGTGATCACAGGCGACTTTTTAAGCTCGACGCAAACGAACCATACGGCTTCACTGCAATTTATTTTATCACTGAGAAACTATATAAATCTTTTCGTTGTCAATTAGAAGAATGGATTATCGAAAAGAAACATGTAAGAGTAAACATATAATAAATGTAAAATTATATTGTATAAAAACACAACGTAAGCAGTGTAAAAGTTGGAGAAGATATTGTCTTTTATAGATCTACACTGCTTAAAAGTTTTGGAGCACTTTTTATTTTTAATGTTCAATATTTATTTCGTAGAATAAATAAAACTTCTAAATTGCTCGTGTATTTTATAATAAAATTGTTGATACACTGACACTTTAGAAATTGTATACATTGCTATTTTTAAAATATTATAAAGTATCATTTTATTTTGCAATTTTAAAACAATTATTTGCCCTAAGGCGTTTAGACGAGTATGGGTATAATTCTTTATTTATTCGTTAATTCGCGAACAAATAGCAATGTGTCAGACCCATGTCAAAATATTCATTGTATCCACTTTGAAATTAGTTATTATTCTAATTTACTATTCTAAAGTAAATATTTTATAATTGTGCTATATTATAATATTTTACATTGTGTTTTGTTAGATAATAAAGTGTTGACAAATGTTTAAGATTAATACTCCTCGTGTTATGAATTTAGGAGTAAGGAATCTTCATGGTCTTCTTCAAAATGATCGTATGACGTATGATGATTAAAAAATTAAATTTTTAATAATATGATACCATACAAAAATTAAAGTTTTTAATAATACCATAATGATCTAATTTTATAGTGGAATTACATTTTATATCCCTGATTTGTACCAATCTTTCGAACAGCATAGTTTGTGTGCATTGCATTGTCAGAAATCTAATTCCCTCTGCGATGCTCATGATGCAATGCACCCGAGTATAGAAATTACACACTCTCTGATCTACGCTAGAAAATTTAGGACATTTTAAGGTTTTGAAAGAAGTAACGACTTCTTCAGATAAATAATAATGTTTTATTCGTGATGTTATTTTCTTATAGTATTGAAACTTTAATTATATTTTAAAATATTCGAAGATATGATTACATTGGGTTCATGCATATCAGAAGCGATAGAATTTTAATTGCACTTCTTCAAAGTATGTATAATAATAGAACTCCGTTTAGTTCAGAACAAAATTTCAAGCAATAATCGAGTAAATGAACTCTTGCTAGTTGAATCCACTTATTCGAAATTGAACTCTTGTTACGTAAGTGGAAAATCATTGGTAGAAGAGAAAATCAATGGGTTCCTATTATTATGTAAACTACAACTTATATAAATTATTTGCTTCAATAAGTTTACATATAATTCAATGCACTTCGATGCACTTTTCAATGCATTTTTTAAATAAATATTTTGTTTAGAAGAATTATTAAACGAAAAAAATATTAAAACAGAATTGTTAGTGTTTCTTCGTTTAGAAATCTTTCTAAAACATTCTACGAATGAAAGAATTGCTTAAATGATCTAAAACACCATCCACAAATAATAAATTTATATAATTTGTAATTCAAGACACTTCGCCCAAATTTAAGTAAATCAAATAAATATTTTGGTCGAATGCCTGATAGTTTGATATTTTGTTACAAAAACTTTTCATTATGAGGAACTTTATATCGCTCAAAAAGTGACGAGTGCTCCAAACTTTTGGATCACAGCGTACATGGAGCTTTATGTTTCCAATAATGGGATAGCTCGTATCTATTACATCGTTAGAAGCATGAAAGCACATATTAACAAAGTGACATCATTGCAATTTCTCATCGTGCGATCTCGCTGTGCTTACGCGTTGCATTAGAAATCTAAATGTACCGAATCGCAACCATATCGCATCATTGGTTCATAACTTGGATCTTACATGAGTGTATTTCGAAAATGACGTAAGTCACTTTACAGCAATGAAAAATGGCGACGCTTTCGTTAATTCTTCAAATCTTCTCGAAAGTTAGCATTAATTTTTCTAGACGCATTAAAACACAAATCCTTAACACGTTCGAAACGGTGTCAGTCCCCACGGACCGACGCATCGCTATTCGTTCAGTTGGTGTCGGTCCCGCTGGACCGACGCTTACATTATTCGTTGTTGGACACTTTATCGAGTCTGAGAAATACACTTAGTTTTTGTTAATATAAAAAATCGGTTCTGTCTCTAACGTGTCAAACCTCTCGATTTAAGAGATTTTCAAAATAAATGGCTTATATTTCTAGAGGTGCAAACAGAGGTTACGCCGCTCGTCAGTAGCAAGATTAAAGGTTCTAATTTGAGACTGAAAATAACAGAGGCTTTGCTAATGCGTGCTCTACTTAGATATCTGGATGAAAGTTAGCCTAATCGGCTTAGCGAAGCTTGAAAAATGGCCGTTCGCGTGGCGCTTGTCGCTCGACTCGCGTGAATCAAACACTTGGCCAATGCCGGGTAACCTAGTTTTCCAAGCACAAGAGGATGATAAATATAGTTAAGTAGCGTAGACTACTGGTTCCCTCGAATTTTAGGATTCCATTGGCAAACTGCTTGAACCAAGACCAAAAAGGAAATTAAAATGGAAGATCAGACGTGATTTTAGAAAAGAAAAAGCTTTAATTTTGTATTGTAAGTATATACATCAGATTCATATATATCAAGTACAATTCATGCGAAAAAAGATCGAGTAGAAGATAATTCTACGTGAAAAGAAGATGAACAGAAAAAATAAAATTTGTTCATTAAAGCCTTCGTTTTCGAGAAAATCGAGTTTGAAAATCTATTATGTCTTGAAAATGACGCCTAAAACGAAAAAATTTTATTCTTACACTTTTTATTTATTTTTGCACATAGAATATTCTCGTACCGATTATTCACACCTATCCAATACAGAATTAACCGAAAAAAATCCGAAAATTTATTAAGTTGAATCAAAACATGCATGCGAATGTTTTTATCGAATGATTTTCCCGGTAAGAATTTAAAAATAAAATGTTCCCGAGTTCATCTGAATTTTTTAAAACTTCTTTCTGTCTGTTCACATGCAACGTTTTGACCTTTACGTTCCAAAAATTGAAAGAAAACTAAAGATGAAACAAACAGAAAAATTTTCTTCGGTGTTTATAGAATTTTTGAGGTAATGGTATGTGAGCCAGTTACGCAAGTACTCTACCGCAATTTCGAAATTAAGAAGTCAGAGTTTTCTTAGACTATTCGCAAAAAGTCCCGCAATGTAACGGTGTTCATTTGAAGGTCGTTCGCCATGGTGAGTAGGTTTGCATTCTCGTTTCGATTCAAAGCACAAAGAATCAGTATGTATATGGAAAAATATACCAGCGATATAATTTTTTAATAAGAATGCACGAATTAAACGTTCATCGAAGATCTATCAAATGTTCCAATATGGCGGCGGTGCAGAAGCACGTGCATTACATTAATCCATATGTTACAAAGTCTCTCACGATTACGTAACAATCCGCATACGTTCTTCTATCAAGTAGCGAAAATAAAAAAAAAAACGTATCTCACGTAGGTCGAATAATTTTTCCAGTTCAGATCTTCAAAAGAAAAACAACAATGAATTATCTTGATTCTTTTACGTAGATCTCACTATTCAAGGCTGCTCTAATAATCCTTTTAATTGTTACATTGTATCTCGTTGTAATTATTTCCAGTACGCGATAAATTATCTTTAGATAGATGAAGAAAAACGATGAAATGGTGACCTGTAGATATTAAGCGACAGGTGTAGACGCACTTCGCGTCGGCACGTGGGTCGCGCACTCCATATGTTAACTGGAATGAACGATGAGCGGTCAAATAACGGGTAATTTCTGACTAATCATGATCACTCTGACTAATTTGTAACCGCTGCCACAAACATTCGACGCGTTTGGTGCAAATTGTCCTTTTGTATGTTCAAGTTGAACTCTGTGGCTAGTTGAGCCTAATTGAATACAATTAAAAGGCTAGCGATGAAAGCAAGTATGGTTGGGTGCATCGTTGAACAATGAATTGAAGACGCGACGAAAGTGGCACAAATCGCGGCGAGGCGTATCCAAGCATATTCAATCTTTTCACACGGGAATTATTACCTCAAATAATTTTTTAATACTTCGTCGAAAAGTGAACAGTACAAAAGCTTTAATTCGTGAATGGATAGATTAATAGCCAGAGAATAATAATAATACAACATGTTCCAGCTGTTTGTACGTACAACGATACAATAAACAGTCGCGCCGGTTTCCCGATATTTTCAATATTCACCGAAAACACTGCGTAAAATATGAGTCAATGTTTGAAAAGGTTTCTCTAGCCTTGGGAATTATTCGTGTATTAGCATTCTCGATAACAAGCTGCAATAGAGTTCAACTTCCCTCTCTGGTCAGTTATTAACTTGTACTTTCCTCAAAGAACCAGATCGTGATCATTTATATATGGTGCATAATTCCATAAGGTGCATCCACGAGATTCTCTGAGATTCCCGCTACGTATTTTTTTCGATTATTAGACTAAATTGTTCCAGGAAACTCGAGAGACGACGTTGAACAAGCAAATCGCGTGATTTGCTTTCATTTACGAGCGATTATCTCCATGCGGTCGTTCAGCGAGAAATACTTCGAAACTGCAGTTGATCGAAGTCTCTTCGAGGAATTCCTACGGTTATGGATATACGCGTGTAAGAGGAAACTGGTTTCCTGTGAGTGGAACAGGGAACCCGTTTGGAAGGGGGGCGGGCGTGAATCTAAAGAGAAAAAAACCTAACGAAATGATGAAAACGGGATAGAAACGTGCGTCAGAGACTCACCGCGATGGCGTCGTCGTTGTAGCTCTGATCTATGAAAGGCTCGTCTTTAACGTCGCCCTTTAAGAACGCGTCCTCCCGCGGGAAGAGGAAATCCATCAGGTTGATATCCGTCGACGACATCCCGCCCGACACTTGATTACCGTACGGCACGGAGCAATCGTACACGTTGCGTGTATACGTGTGTGTATAATGTGTATACTTAACACAAAATACACGGCAGCCACTACGTTTCCATGAAAAAACCACCGTCCGCACACAACACTGACGTTACACTCGTACACGATAAGGCGCACTAGCCGACTGACGAGTGAAAGAGTCCCGTCACAGACAGTCGGACAGACGTTCGGCCTCCTCGCCCCACCCTGAGGCTCTTGCTGCTGCTAGAGAGCGAGAGAGACCGATTTTTTCGGTGACGATTGCTCGTCTCTACTCGGACGTTTATTTCACCTGGGTCACTCGCGACGCTTGTTGAAGCATGTTGAGCAATTCGTACGGTCTCTATGTCAACTTCTGTATACCTGCACCACGAAAAACTGTTTACCCTGCCCGAGTACACTACGAGTGTTCGATCCACCGCCGAGTATTGTCAATTGAACTGCCAGCGTGGCAATATGCGCGTCACGAATTCTTCGTGACTTCGCGACGACGTGATTGGCTGAGGGAGCTTCTCGCTAAAGATAGGTTGATTCGAAAGTCGCGGGCTTGAGTCGGGCGTTTTGAGCGTTGGAAATTACGCTTCGACGAAAGAAATTTGTATTTTGGTCGAGGATCGTATTCGAAAAGCTAAAAAATAGGAATTGAAAAAGGGAAATTAAAATAAATGAAACGTTACGAAGGTACACTATTATATTTAAAATTTATTATTGTTTGCGGTAGCGCAGACACTACGGAACTATAGCACCATCAATTTTTCGATAATGTATTTATTGTTTTTCTCATGAATGTATTTATTAATTTATTTCTATTAGTCTATAAAAAAAAAGGAATAATAAAAATCCGTTGTATTTACAGTGATCATGTATATTGCATCGTATCGAAAGTTGTAACATCACCGCGATATGAAACCACGAGCCGCCACTGATCATTTATGTCATTTTGCGCTGAATGAACTTGAGAGCAACGAGACATTGGTTTCTTGAAAATGATACATTAATCGTGTACGTATTTAATTAAAACAAAATAATAAATAAAAATTGGAGTTAACCAATTTGGTTTCTGAGTAATTCGTACGTTGAAGATATTATCAAAAACAGAATTATTCTGTTGTTGCTGATGTTGCATCAGACTGACCAATTTTATACTATCTGAAAATGTACGACGCATTTTGCAAACGCTGCTGAATCATGAAGTAGGATTGGGAAAGGGTCATCGGAAAATAATTTTGCCTGTAATAAACAAAGAACATTTTTATCTTCCTTTATTTTTTTTTACACAGGTAAGCATGTATTTAAAATATTTCAATGTATCTGCAAATAATTATTGAGGGTTTAATTATCATACGGAAGAATCAATTTTATACTACTATTACTTAGCGTAGTATTGGATTTAGAAAGTATAAACAAAGAGATTTATGATAAAATGTACCTTTTTT